CCACAGAAAACGCCTAAGAAAATTGGCCGATAAACGATGAGCACTAACTAGTAAGAGTTTAGCCATGTTGCTGTATCCAAGATCAGCATCGTAACAGCTGTCCTGTTGACCTTGAACTCCATGCCTGGTATGGCACCAAGGGCTTTCATGTATTCTTCCCTTGTTATAACTTAATTCTTACAACAACCCTGAGGTAAATACTATTATTAGCTCCACCTTGCTGATGTGGAAACTGAGGCAGAGTGATTAAGTAACTCACCTAGAGTCATAGAGCCAGAATATAAAAGTCAAGGTCAAACCTCAGGCAGACTGTCACCCCAGCTTGCCCTTGAACACTATGCTCTTTCGCCTCCACTGCATTCCAGCGCACCAACAAAACAAATGCAATAACACAACAGGGGAAAAATATGTCTGTACAGGAGCAACAAAAGTTTTTGAAAGAAATTAGGCATGAAGTAAAGAAAAGATATGCAAGACGGAGCTCCTTACCTCGAGAAGTGCTAGCTCCCAGCAGGCTAGCTGTTTCCACCAAGGGTAGATAGTCCTGGCAGAGACCAGCAGGTGGGCGGGATGCTCTGTGTGGTACAACTGCAGCTGTAACCCCGGGCAGTAATTTCCAACAATGAGCCCTGGTCAAATCTCCTTCAATTCCCTGATCAGCTTCCTTCCCTGGGGTCAGGCTTTTTGGGGCAACAGTGACAGGAAGCATCTTTCTGGATGAGCACTCGTGGCTTTCCCTCCTTCCAGAGGGTGAGATGTGAAGCCTAGCCTCCATCCAGCAGGGCCTCTCAATGTCATTCGCAACTCCAGTGACAGCTAGTCAGCTTCCAATCTCCACCTGCCGGTGGTGCCGAAGACCTTCCCAGTGCTGGACCTCCATCACTGCACAAAAGTCGTTTCAGCACCTTGGAGAAGCTCATCCGCATTCTGAGTCGTAGCCAAAGGCTTTCAGGCAAGCTTTCCAACTTTCAGAGTGGCTAGCTGCTCCCGGAGATTTGAAGTGGTTCTTTAACAAGGTACGCGGGTTCGTAACTGGTGTTTTGAAAAGCGTAAAGAACGGGCCCATAATACCTCTGATATTATGCCCAGGGCTGACTTCATCTGTAATAGGCGCTCTCGGGGCCATCTGCTCTGTCGCATTCACACTGTCTGTAGTGTTCTTACTACCGCCATGGGACCAGGGGGGTCTTCGCCATCAGGTTCCTAGAGTGAAAAGAGGCAACAGAATGTGAGGAGCTGCTTCTGAGATTCCCTTCAAGACCCAGAAAACCCTGGGGGGACCAAAGGGGTTGTGCCCACAGGTGGCTGCCTCGTCCTCTTCTTGGAAGCTCATTAGTGGTCCAGCTCTGCCCCGTATCCTTCCCTCTTAGCTGAATCCTAACCCTTCCAGCACTTCTATTCTCAGCTGCTTGACCTAATTCTAAATCTTCTCTTTGTTGTAACAATACTTAAACCTATTTTTCCAGCTGGGCAAAGGAGAATGAAATTGCTATAATTTTAAAAATAGATTTTAAAAACAAACTAAGCTAATATTTGTCGAATTTGCGTTTTATCACGTACAAGTACAGTTGCTGGGTTTCTAATTAGCTTCCATCTACATTACAGGTCATACTTCCCTTCTATTCCTTAAATGCTGTTTTCCTCTATTCTAAGACTTACTAGCTCCAGGGAAAGTGCTCTGATCACAGTAATTACAACCATGAGAGTATCAAAACATATAAAAACAACAACGGTGTTCTTGGGTTTGCTAAGGTGTCTTTCACGCACCACAATCTCTATATGCCTTCCACTCCTCACAGCCCTAGAACTTGAATCTCCAAGACCTTCTGAGAAAAAGGAAGTATACTTAACTCCTTGTAGGACCGTTATGGACTGAATGTTTGCACCCCAGCCCCAAAGTCGTATTATGTTAACCCCCAGTGTGGTTGTGTTGGTGTATTTGGCAATGGGGCCTCTAAGGAAGTAATTACGGTTAAACGAGGTCATAAGGGTGGGGCCCTGATCCGACAGGATTAGTGTCCTTCAAAGAGACACCAGAGAGCGAGCCCCCCACCTCACCCCC